TTGATGGCAACACATTAAACGAAGACATATGGACCGAGTTCGCCATAATGAGGCTATTAGACCTCAAAGGAGAAGATCCAATGATATATGAAGAGATAGATTGCCGTACCAAACTTGCCATGTTGATTGGGGATATTCTCACCACTCCCGATATACGGATATATCCGTGAGTCCGATTGTTCCATGATAAAATCCCGATGAACACACTATAAGCATCTCTCTAGTCATCAGCCTCTATGCAGTCCTAAAAACCCTCCAGACATCCTCGGACGACCAATACGGACTCTGCTACCCTGGAATGGTTTCGAGAATTCGCCTCTATTCTGTGGAGGGTATAACGACGGTGACTCCATGAAGGTTGTGAACCGTCTTGCACATTGTTTGCAAACTACATTGATCATACTGATACTTTATTATTTGGATACAAGACTAGCACCGTCTGAAAAATTACCCTCTTGGATGTCTCTATATCTATTGACCTACAGCCAACAAAAGGTGGAGATTTTTGCTTGTTTTCCTTTATTTCGGATCCCGAGAGATTCATCCACGAAGGGCCAGGGCGAGTGGGGCTTTCACTGCATTCTTTTAGAAACGTTCACCCCTGTCTTCATGGACGATAGAAAGTGGACACTTAGGCTCATTGGGTCGCTGTTACGAATTCGAAATCATTGCAGGTATATTTTACAACAGTTACAAAGCTGGGATGTTCGCAGTAGGGTGCCTTTACTTTAGACGAATGCTATTGATTAGACTCGATCTACAAAGTACTCTTTAGTCATCATCTCCCTCAGAAGATTCAATTCCCCTTTCTAGCAATGCCTCATTTTGAAGTACTACAAGGACTTCAGGGGCACGTTCCCACTCTAAGAGTTTGTTCATTATAAGAAGGCCGTGACTACGTATGTGAAGGAGGAACGCTAGGGCGGATATTCTCTTTGCCATATTCATTGTTTTAAACACGCGTGAAAATGTATCGGTGCATAGAACGGATGCAAATTTCCAGCTGGGTTTCGGAGACTGGAAATCGTAATATGGAAAGTGGACCCGCACCATGAATCCTGTCTCTGTATATTCGATGCCGTATATAAAGAGCCATTTTGGCAGCGGGGTCCTGGCAGAGGTGCGATTATCCAAATAGTATAAGATAAGGATGATTAAGGTTGGTTGAAATGCTGCTGCAAGTTGCGCGCACGTGTTTTTTGTCAAGGTTCTCCGTGGCTTGCATTCGCCCCCAAAAATTATGGGCATGAGATCTTTATGCCATCCTGCCTCGTCTCCAAAGGTGGCTCTAGCATAGCAGTCGGGGCTAGGCTGAGAACCCGAAGGTTGAAGATGTGCTGGGAATCGAAGCGGGCAGTTCCTTTAGTTGAATTTTAGAATTCTAGTGTATGATGAGGAACATATATTCATTACTAACCGCTTATCGGTGATTCCAATCCCTGATATTATCTTTGAAAGAATTGCGCCACAGCCACTCTCCGCTTCCCCTTCACTAACGGCTGCTCGAGGGTTCATATAGACCATGATATTTTGAGCTATGTGTTGCTGTAATACAACGCAATTATAGCTTCGTTCGTTTGTGGTGATGTTACCGAGTCCGTATTGTATATCATTTCTAGCAATTGCCTCGTCGGAAAGCCACTCGATCTTGTCCCGCACCTCTCCTATTCGATGGAGAGCATTGTATACCTCCCAAGTAGAGTTAAGGTGCCTTGGAAGTGCATTCCATGTATTAATCACGGCGTTAAGGTTACTAGATATGGCCTCATCTTTCCCTTTTTCTCCCGTAAGTCGATATTTTTTCGTAAGGATGCGAAGTAGATCTTCCCCCCAATTCTGACTCTTCTCGTATGCCATAGAATGAGAAGATGAATAACTTTCGCCTGATACCGAAGGGACCTTCTCCGGAAGGGTTTCTTGGACCGTATTTGAATTATCTTTGACCTTGGACTCCCTGCTCAATTTCTTCTCTTCGGGAGAGTCCACTAGACAAGTCCTGTATCGGTCAGGAAGAGCCAAGATGGGCAATCTTCTTTGAAACCTCCCGATCACCTATCATCGCAATTGAGAGGGAAGAAAAAATTAAGAAGCAAATGTACTGACTTTCCATCGCCTAGGAAGACATATCGTTTGCATCCGAACCAATTTTGCT